TAATCTGTCCATCATTAAAATGTTCATCATCAAGTTCATCATTAGTATGATCATCAACATTATAATCATCGTCATGTTCATTATAATTATGATCATCAGTATGATCATCCTCAGTATGATCATCATCATGATCATCATCATCATGATCATTAGTATGATCATCATCATCATGATCCTCAGTATGATCATCATTAGTATGATCATCAACAGTATGATCATCATCATGATCATGAACAGTATGAACATCATCATCATCATCATATTTAAAATCATCAGTATGATCATCGTCAGTATGATCATCATCATCATGATCATTAGTATGATCATCATCTTGTTCATCATTAGTATGTTCATCATCAAGTTCATCATTAGTATGATTATCAACATTATGATCATCGTCATGTTCATTATAATTATGATCATCAGTATGAACATCCTCAGTATGATCATCCTCAGTATGAGCATCATCATGATCATCATCATCATGATCAACAGTATTATCATCGTCATGATCATCAACAGTATGAAGATCGTCATCATCATCATACTTAAAATCATCAGTATGATCATCGTCAGTATGATCATCATCATGATCATCATCATCATGATCATTAGTATGATCGTCATCTGTTCATCATTAGTATGTTCATCATCAAGTTCATCATTAGTATAATCATCAACATTATAATCATAGTCATGTTCATCACAATTATGATCATCAGTATGATAATCCTCAGTACGATCATCATCATGATCATCATCATCATCATGATCATCATTTTGATAATCATCATCATGATCATCATAATTATGATCATCAGTATGATCATCCTCAGTATGATGATCATCATGATCATCATCATCATGATCATCAGTATGATCATCATCTTGATCATAATTACTATGTTCATCGTCAAGTTCATCATTAGTATGATCATCAACAGTATGAACATCGTCATCATCATCATACTTCAAATCATCAGTATGATCATCGTCAGTATGATCATCATCATGATTATCATCATCATGATCATTAGTATGATCATCATCTGTTCATCATTAGTATGTTCATCATCAAGTTCATCATTAGTATGATCATCAACAGTATGTTCATCGTCATGATCATCATAATTATGATCCTCATTATGATCATTATCATCATGATCATTAGTATAATCATCATCTTGTTCATCATTAGTATGTTCATCAACAAGTTCATCATTAGTATGATCATCAACATTATGATCATCGTCATGTTCATTATAATTATGAGCATCAGTATGATCATCCTCAGTATGATCATCCTCAGTATGAAAATCATCATGATCATCATCATCATGATCAACAGTATTATCATCGTCATGATCATCATCATCATGATCATCATCATGATCATCATCATGATCATCATCTTGTTCATCATTAGTATGTTTATCATCAAGTTCATCATTAGTATGATCATCAACATTATGATCATCGTCATGTTCATTATAATTATGAGCATCAGTATGATCATCCTCAGTATGAAAATCATCATGATCATCACCATCATGATCAACAGTATTATCATCGTCATGATCATCATCATCATGATCATCATAATTATGATCATCAGTATGATCATCCTCAGTATGATCATCTTCATGATCATCATCATCATGATCAACAGAATTATCATCGTCATGGTCATCATACTGTTGATGATCATACTAATGATGATCATACTGAGGATGATGATGATGATGATGATCATGATGATGATCATAATTATGATGATCATCGTTAGTATGATAAATCATTATGATCATCATCATCGTCATGATCATCAACAGTATGATCATCGTCATGATCATCAACAGTATGAATATCGTCATCATCATCATCATGATAATGATCATACTGAGGATGATCATACTGATGATCATGATGATAATGATCATGATGATGATCATACTGATGATCATGACGATGATCATAATGTTGATGATCATACTAATGATGAACTTGATGATGAACACACTAATGATGAACAAGATGATGATCATACTGTTGATCATGATGATGATGATCATGAAAAGATCATAGTGAGGATGATCATGATGAAGATCATAGTGAGGATGATCATACCGATGATCATAATTATGATGATCATGACGATGATCATAATGTTAATAATCATACTAATGATGAACTTGATGATGAACATACTAATGATGATCAAGATCATGATCATACTGATGATCATGATGATAATGATCATGATGATGATCATACTGAGGATGATCATACTGATGATAATGATGATGATGATCATACTGATGATCATACTGAGGATGATCATACTGATGATCATAATTATGATGATCATGACGATGATAATTCTCTTGATTATGATGATGATTATGATGATGATCATACTGAGGATGATCATACCGATGATCATAATTATGATGATCATGACGATGATCATAATGTTGATGATCATACTAATGATAAACTTGATGATGAACATACAAATGATCATCATCATCATAATCATCATCATCATGATCATCAGTATGATCATCATCTTGATCATCATTACTATGTTCATCATCAAGTTGATCATTAGCATGATTATTAACCTTATGATCATCGTCATGATCATCATAATTATGATCATCAGTATGATCATCCTTAGTATGATCATCCTCAGTATGATCATCCTCAGTATGAAAATCATCATGATCATCATCATCATGATCATTAGTATGATCATCATCTGTTCATCATTAGTATGTTCATCATCAAGTTCATCATTAGTATGATCATCAACAGTATGTTCATCGTCATGATCATCATAATTATGATCCTCATTATGATCATTATCAACATGATCATTAGTATGATCATCATCTTGTTCATCATTAGTATGTTCATCATCAAGTTCATCATTAGTATGATCATCAACATTATGATCATCGTCATGTGCATTATAATTATGAGCATCAGTATGATCATCCTCAGTATGAGCATCCTCAGTATGAAAATCATCATGATCATCATCATCATGATCATCAGTATGATCATCCTCAGTATGATCATTATCATGATCATTATCATCATGATCATCATTATGATAATCATCATCATGATCATCATAATTATGATCATCAGTATGATCATCCTCAGGATGATCATCATCATGATCATCATCATCATTATCAGCAGTATGATCATCATCTTGATCATAATTACTATGTTCATCGTCAAGTTCATCATTAGTATGATCATCCTCAGTATAATCATCGTCATGATCATCATAATAATGATCATCAGTATGATCATCCTCAGTGTGATCATCATCATGATCATCATCATCATGATCATTAGTATGATCATCATCATCATGATCCTCAGTATGATCATCATTAGTATGATCATCAACAGTATGATCATGGTCATGATCATGAACAGTATGAACATCATCATCATCATATTTAAAATCATTAGTATGATCATCGTCAGTATGATCATCATCATCATGATCATTAGTATGATCATAATCTGTTCATCATTAAAATGTTCATCATCAAGTTCATCATTAGTATGATCATCAACATTATAATCATCGTCATGTTCATTATAATTATGATCATCAGTATGATCATCCTCAGTATGATCATCATCATGATCATCATCATCATGATCATTAGTATGATCATCATCATCATGATCCTCAGTATGATCATCATTAGTATGATCATCAACAGTATGATCATCATCATGATCATGAACAGTATGAACATCATCATCATCATCATATTTAAAATCATCAGTATGATCATCGTCAGTATGATCATCATCATCATGATCATTAGTATGATCATCATCTTGTTCATCATTAGTATGTTCATCATCAAGTTCATCATTAGTATGATTATCAACATTATGATCATCGTCATGTTCATTATAATTATGATCATCAGTATGAACATCCTCAGTATGATCATCCTCAGTATGAGCATCATCATGATCATCATCATCATGATCAACAGTATTATCATCGTCATGATCATCAACAGTATGAAGATCGTCATCATCATCATACTTAAAATCATCAGTATGATCATCGTCAGTATGATCATCATCATGATCATCATCATCATGATCATTAGTATGATCGTCATCTGTTCATCATTAGTATGTTCATCATCAAGTTCATCATTAGTATAATCATCAACATTATAATCATAGTCATGTTCATCACAATTATGATCATCAGTATGATAATCCTCAGTACGATCATCATCATGATCATCAGTATGATCATCATCTTGTTCATCATTAGTATGTTCATCATCAAGTTCATCATTAATATGATCTTTAACATTATGATCATCAGTATGATCATCCTCAGTATGATCATCATCATGATCATCATCATGATCATCATCATCATCATAATTATGATCATCAGTATGATCATCCTCAGTATGATCATCATCATGATTATCATCATCATCATGATCAACAGTATTATCTTCAACATGATCATCATAATTATGATCATCAGTATGATCATCCTCAGTATGATCATCATTATGATCATCATCATCATCATCATCAGTATGATCATCATCTTGTTCATCATTAGTATTTTCATCATCAAGTTCATCATTAGTATGATCATCATAATTATGATCATCAGTATGATCATCTTCAGTATGATCATCATCATGATCATCATCATGATTATCATCATCATGATCATCAGTATTATCATCGTCATGATCATCATAATTATGATCATGATGATGATCATACTAATGATGAACAGTTTTATCATCGTCATGATCATCATAATTATGATCATGATGATGATCATACTAATGATGAACAGTATTATCATCGTCATGATCATCATAATTATGATCATGATGATGATCATACTAATGATGAACATGGTGATGAACATACTAAAGATGATCATGATGATGATCATACTAATGATAATGATCATGGTGATGATCATGGTCAAGGTGATAATTATCATGATGATCATATTGCTAATGATAATGATCAGAATTTTGATGATCATAAGGATGCTAATCAGAAGGATGATCGTACTAATTGTGATTATAATGCTGATGATCATAAATTTGGTAATGATTATGATTATGTTTATGTTGATGATGATCATAATGAAAATGATCATAATGATGATGATCATGTTCAGGGTGATAATTATCTTGATAATAATGGTCATGATGATGTTCATAATGCTAATGGTTATAATGATTATGATCATAATGATGATGATCCTAATGATGATCATAATGATCCTGATCATAATGATGATCATGGTCAAGGATATATCATTATGGTCAAGGTGATGATTATCATGATGATGATCGTAAGAATGATCATACTAATTGTTATTATAATGATGATTATAATGATGATCAGGATGATGATCATGATATAGATCATGATGATGATGATCAAAATTCTAATGATTATAATGATGATGATCATAAATATGATCATCATGAGGATGATTGGGTTGGTGATCATACTAATTGTGATCACAAGGATGATGATCATGATTATAATGATTATAAATATGATGATCAGCATGATGATTATCATGATGATGATCATGGTTAAGGTGATAACAATCTTTGATGATTATAACAGTAGAAATCATAAATCATTCAATTAAAAATAGACTACACGAAAAAAAACAAAAGTCTAACAATTGCAGAGTGGTATTAACTAGAATAAGATTTGTTTTTTCACAAACATAAAACAAAATAAAAAATTGACATAAAAATGTTATAATTAAAGTTGATAAAATTTAAATAAGTAAAATAAAAGTAAAAATTATATATTTTAATTATTAAGAGCTAGAAAATGTTTCAAAACTATAGACCTAAAAATACCAATAGTTTCTTCATTAGTATTAGACAAGGAAGAGAGTTCCATAAAGTTATAGCAGCAACAACAAAAGAATTCTTATATTTTTCAGTTCGACAGAAAGTTGCCCTTAATTTATTAGGACACTTTATTTCTCTCGAAATAATTTTGCTTCTAAAGGTAAATTTTTCACACAAATAAAGAGGCTTCTTTGTATTTAAAGTTACATATACGTTAAACATTCAATAAATATCAGACGTCTGCTTTTGACACTTAACCATCGCAGTCTTTCACGATAAGGAGAAATATGCTCATCTTCCCTTAGATTAAAAATAAATCTTACGCAAAAATTGAGAAGTTTCTCCAGCTTTTATTATTAAGTTCTTCCGTTAGATCATAATAAACAGCACAACAATAGTCAAAATGAGGTAAGGTCATAGAAGAGACAAGTTGGATTTTCAATTTAATAGTAAGAGCTCTTCTATTTAATTTAAATTGATTTAATGTTGCATAAACATTTCTACAAATTAGACCAACATATTTCTTTCAAGAAAGAGTTGAATTAATAGTAACTCTGAGGTTTTTAACTGATTGTACATAAAGAATAACTATGTTGTTTATCTTAATAGAAGGAGTCTTCTTTAGATCCAAGTTATTTATGTTCCAAGATGAACCAATAATAATCATTAAATAACTTTTATTAAGATTTATTTTAAGCTTATTTGACTCCGCCCAATTAAAAACAGCTTTAACATCCTCATTAATGAGTGCTAAATTTTTATCCAATTCATCAAGACTAGAGTGTACGAAAATTTGCAAATCATCAGCATAATACATATGCTTAGTATGCTAAAGAACATTGTAACGATTATTGAAATATTTAATTAAAAACAAAAGTGACAACAAAGTCCATATTCAGCACATAACACACCACAAAAGAGCAATATTTTAAATATACACTACCGTCCGAAATTGTGCGAACTCTGCTTTTTCAACAACTATAAAACTGTTCAAATCTTCAAAAATATTACAACTAAAATTTTTTCCTCTTTATTTTATTAAAGCTAATAAAAGTCTGAAAGAAATGACACCTTGACAAAGAGAATATGTTAATTTTTCAATTAGATATCTAAGAAAAACTCAATTTTCAATGTTTTTACTATTTTTTTTATTTCTCTGGCAAAAATTAATATTTTTAAACGTTCTTAGGCTCATTGAAATCGTATTTTGTTATGCAATTCAAATTATATAAAACAATTCATGTACACATTCTTCCCTAGCGTATGCAAACCGTGAAAGTTGGCTCATAAAATGTCAAAAAATTGTGATTAATATTTATATGACAAAAAATGATCAGTAAAATGTATAAATCTTAAATTTACTTACATAAATCAGAGAAGTTTAGAATGATATATTTACTTGATTTTTAAACATTATATTTTATTGTAGAATTAAATTTAAATTTTTTGACATTTTATGAGCCAACTTTCACGGTTTGCATACGCTAGGGAAGAATGTGTACATGAATTGTTTTATATAATTTGAATTGCATAACAAAATACGATTTCAATGAGCCTAAGAACGTTTAAAAATATTAATTTTTGCCAGAGAAATAAAAAAAATAGTAAAAACATTGAAAATTGGGTTTTTCTTAGATATCTAATTGAAAAATTAACATATTCTCTTTGTCAAGGTGTCATTTCTTTCAGACTTTTATTAGCTTTAATAAAATAAAGAGGAAAAAATTTTAGTTTTAATATTTTTGAAGATTTGAACAGTTTTATTGTTGTTGAAAAAGCAGAGTTCGCACAATTTCGGACGGTAGTGTAAAAGCAAATTTTCAAGACCCTTTAAACACACGCCCGCTTTGTTCTGTTATGCTTTTATTAAGTTATCATAAATATGATGATGATCATACTGATGATGATGATTATAATGATGATGATCATGATGATCATCTTAATGCTAATGATCATAAAGATGATGATGATCATAAATATGATGATGATCATGATGATCATGATAATAATGGTCATGAAAATGATAATTATGAAGATAATGGTTATGATGATATTGATCATGTTTATGGTGATCATGATGATGATCATGATAAAGATCATGATGATAATGATCATAATGGTAATGATCATAATGGTGATGATCATGATCATAAATATAATCATCATGTTTATGGTGATCATGATGATGATGGTTATGATAATGATAATCATGATGATGTTACATCCCGAGCAAAAGGCGAGGTTAAATTAAATTTTTTATTATTAAATATATTTTTTAAAATTTGGAGGAATGGTAGGCTGATTACAGTCAAGTTGGTAAGGCTTGACCATTTATTTTTATGTGAGAACGTTTGTTCCTATCGATCCTATGGGGGTCGTCTTTAAATAATTTACTTTATAATAATTGCCTTTCCACTTATAATTGTTAATTTAAATATGAATAGATAAATAAAGGTAAATTTAGGTAAATGAGAAATTAAAAAAGAATTTTATTAATTTAAACTTTGTATAATTTATTAATATAAATGAATTGAACTCAACATATTACAATGGTGTTTTAGTGTAAAAATGTTGTTATAAAGAAAATTGTTTTTTTAAAAATATAGTACTTACAATAACCTCTGTTCAGAGGGCAGAAATGAATATAAAACAAGTTGGCACTTGTCAGCGACGCTATGAGTTTTTACAGCTCCTTAAAAGGAACAGTTGGGACTTCGTCACAGTTTTTTAGTTCGTAAACTACGAAATGCACACACGTCACGTTTGCATAATCGATAAATTGATAATACACTAATACGACGATTTATTTTAAAATTCAATAAATGACAAGCTCACAAATCTGGCGATGATGATTACTTGCTCAAAAACCGAACAACGAGTAAACATATACTGTTTGAGATGCAAGAGTTACAGTCGTAAAATTTTCAAAATAACCGAAGGGTCAAGCTTCACGATGGTGATTTTACTTTAAGAAATAAATTATAGAATGATGCCAGAGCAACTGACGATTGACAATGGATTTGCATGGGTTTTTATACTAGAAAATCACCCTCAGTGGGAGTAAATAAATTCAAAGATCACCCCATCTCCATCTTGACTTTTAGATTTTCATAGAACTGTAACAATTCTTAGAGCTTAGATGAACACCTGCATCCTGTATCGCTATTACATTGTCTACAAGCATCTCACAATATTGCCACGCTAGAATACTGTGCTTGCGCCTCGCTGACGCTTACATGAGTCATAAATCCACTCGCTGATACTGAGTAATGTGCGTAGTAGTGTCAAATGCCTTAGGTTTAATTTCTAGAAATTGCCTACCAGGCTTTCGATATTCAAGTCAAAGGTCAGCCTATGCGATTCGATACAAGTGAGAAGTAGAACATCGCATAAGACTTTATACTTTGTGCAGCTGCAAAAACAATTCCTAAGAATTAGCTGAAGCATTGCGTGGGATTCAAATTAGAAAAATTTTGTATTTTGAACATTATTCATATTTTTGAATAATGGCATTTTAAATGCTTTAAGTGTAAAAATGTGTAAGATTTATTATTTTAAAGTAATAGATAACTGAATTTTAAATACAATAGCAAAAAGAATTAATTAATTTTGAAGAATTGGGGCGAAAACTAGTGTAGATAGTTTTCGCTCTTGTTTAACAACCACACGCGTTTCCTCAGCATAGCCCTTCTGTAGCGAGAGGTCACCTTCGGTGATGCATCTACTCGCTATATCTATATTCACATATCCATGTCTATACGCACTATATCTATATATATCGCTGGCTTGCGACGAATCATAACATGCAGGCAGAGATATGCATATATATAGATATAGTCGCGCGTATATGAATATGAATCAATGCTTATCGGAGACGCGGAAAATGACCCATGGGGGTTGGCTTTTAGAGTAGTATCTAAGAAACTAGTTTCGCGGCAAAAAACCCCCGGTCTGGACAATCCGATTCGGATCTGAAAAATCATACGTGCTTTGTTCTCCCATGTGGAATCTGGCCCCCGAGAGGACTATACTCACTGTGTAGTACAGTGGGAAGAACTCTTCACACTTGAAGAGCTTAAAAAGGTGCGGCAAAGATGTTGAAAAATGGCAAAGCGCCAGGTAATGATGGAATACCCAACGAGATTCTTAAAGAAGTTATCGCTCTGTATCCGGAGCTACTTCTCGACGTCTTTAATACATGTCTGGAGTGTAGAAGGTTTTTCAGTGACTGGAAAGCACAGAAGTTGATCCTTTTTAGGAAGGGGGATAAACCTCTAGATAAAGTCTCATCGTTTAGACCAAGTTGTTTATTGGATACGATGGGTAAACTTCTAGAGGGAATGATTCTGGAGAGACTACAGAGAATCCTGGTAGGCAAAAGTAGCTTATCCGAAAACCAGTTTGGCTTTAGAAAGGGCCGGTCCACAGTAGACGCGATTTTTGCGGTTGTTAGCGGCAAATAAAGTCAAATCAGGGAAGAAGAAGGGATTTTGCGCACTCGTAGCCATAGACATACGAAACACGTTCAATTCCGCGAGATGGGAAATTAGTATCGAGGCGATGAAACGTAAAGGGGTGCCAACCTATCTGTTGCGAATGATAGATGACTATCTTAGCGATAGATGGGTTGTGTACGAGAGCGATGCATGTCATATCAAAGAAGAGATGACATGCGGAGCTCCCCAAGGATCGAAAGTAGGTCCAACCATAAAGAACGTCATGTATGACAGTTTCCTGAGGTTGGACTTACTGGAAGATACGTTTCTGACCGGGTTCGCGGATGACGTGCTTTTAGTGTGCTGTGCGGACAAGATAAATCTTTTACAGATAAAACTCGATGATAGTCTGCGACGAATAGTGTTTTTGTTGGACCGACATGCCCTGAAAATGGCTGTCGAAAAAACCGAGGCTCTGCTCGTCACAGACCGGAGAGACTTCCGATTCCCGCGGTTGGAAATTGGAGGATCTGTAGTTTCATGGGGGACAAAACTGAAGTACCTGGGAGTGACGTTGGACAAACGTTTGAGTTTCGGCAAACATATTAACATCTCGTCACTCCAAGCCACCGAATGCATGGGAAACCTTTCGAGGATGATGCCCAATATCGGTGGCCCCAGGGAAAAGAAACGTAGACTAGTGGCGACTGTGGTTCAATCAAAGCAGCTTTATGCTGCCCCTGTTTGGGCTTCGGCCCTAAAGTTCCACAGCATCTCTGACAGGCTCCTCGCGGTCCAGAGAGACCCGGCACGGAGAATTGTGTCAGCCTTCAGAACGGTGTCTACTTGCGCTGTTCTGGTACTCGCTGGATTACCGCCAATGGATTTATTGGCGATGGAAAGGAAGGAAATCTTCCATCTTAACAAAGATCTGGCGGGTACTTCAGAGCATAGCGATAGACGGGATGGGATGGGGAGTCTAAAGGTAGGTTGACCTACCGCTTGATTCCCCTCCTCGCCACATGGTTAGATAGGAAACACGGTGAAGTTGGCTACTACCTTACACAAGCGTTGTCAGGTCATGGTTGTTTCGGACAGTATTTTTATCGATTTAAAATAGAAGCAGAAGCGAGATGTGTGTATTGCAACGGTTCGGGTGTCGACGAAGCAATAAACACTGACGACGCGGAGCAAACGCTCTTTTTCTGCGGGCACTGGCGTGAACTCAGGCAAGCCATGTTCTCGGCTGTGGGCACTGAAGTCACACCCGAGAACATGGTTTCTATTATGTTGCAGAGATCGGACTGTTGTAGGAGCGTCGAGTCCTTCATTACAACTGTAATGAGGACGAAGGAGGACGACAGAAGGAGGTTAAAGTCTCAAAAAGGGTGTGGTTTTTAGTGGGTCCACCAGAACAAGAGCGGTCATCCCTACATAACCTGAGAGTACGGGCTCCATGATCATCATCAACATCTTGATCCCAATCATGATCACCATCAAGATCATCATTATGAACATGATGATTATGATCGTAATGATAAAAATACTACTAATGATGATCATGAAAATTATCATGATGATGATTATACTAATGATGATCGTAATTCATAATCATGTTAATGATGATGATGGTCATGATCAACTTGATAATTATCATGATAATTATTGTCATGATGATGATCATAATGATGATAATGATGATCGTGACAAGATGTTTATGATGATCATAATAAGGGGCCGTGTACAAATTACGTAAGGTCAATTTTAAACATTTTAAACCCCCCCTCCCCCCATGTAAGGTTAAGTAAGATTTTGTTAGCCTCCCCCCCCCTTTCTTACGTAAGGTTTAAAGAAAATATAGGTCAAAAATTAAAGTTATGTATTACACGTTTTATTCTTAATGTTAATAAATTTTTTTAATTATATTTAAAACAAAGTTAACATAGTTAAACAGTCATTACTGTAGAGAACAAAATACATTTTTCAACATTATTAGATCATATATTATTGTAGAAGTTTACCGGCAGAACTGCCCGCAAGTTTCAAGAAATTTTTTAATATATGGCCTTACGTAAGAAAATCTTCGCACCTACCCTCCCCCCACGTAAGAGTCCGTAAGGATTTCATACACCCCCTCCCCCCCCCTGTGGCCCTTACGTAATTTGTACACGGCCCCTAATGTTGATCATTGTCAAGGTGATGATTATCATGATGATTGTCATGATGATGATCATAATGCTAATGATTATAATGATGATGATCATCAATGTGATCATCATGAGGATGCCCATACTAATGATGATCATGCTGATGCTCATACTAATGATGATCATGATGATAATCATGATGATGATCGTAATTATGATAATCCTACTAATGATGATGATTATACTAATGATGATCATGATGATGATCATACTGATGATGATCATACTAAAGATGATCATGATGATGATCATACTAAAGATGATTATACTGATGATGATAATGATCATCATCATTATGATCATCATTATTATGATCATCAGTATGATCATCGTCATGGTCATCATTAGTATGATTATCAACAGTATGATCATCGTCATGTTCATCATCATCATCATCATTATGATCATCATCATGATCATCATTATTATATTCATCATTATGATCATTATTATGATCATCATTATTATAATCATCATCATGATCATTATTATGATTATCATTATTATGATCATCATTAGTAAGATCATTATCATCATCATCATCACGATCAATATTATTATAATCATCATCATGATAATTATTATGATCATCATTATTATGATAATCAACATGATCATCACCATGATCATTATTAGTAAGATCATGACCATGATCATTATCAGTAAGATCATGACCATAATCATTATTAGTTAGATCGTCACCATGATCATCATCATGATCATCATTAGTATAATCATTATCATGATCATCATCATTATCATCATCAGTATAATCGTCATCATGATCATCATCAAGATCATCATCATGATCCTCATCATGATTATCATATTTATGATAATCATCATGATCATTATCGTCATGATAATCATCACCTTGACCATAATCATCATCATTATCATAATTCTGATCATTATAATTATGATAATCATCTTGACAATAATTATCATGATAATTATCACGTTGACCATGATCATCACCATCATGATCATTATCATCTTTTCAGTTTCGCGGAACTACAGAAGGAATGATATTAACAAAATTAGAGTAGGAATCATTTAATTATTGACGATTCAGTTAACTGCTATCGAAGTGCTTTGGTTTGCTTCGAAGTACAAAAAGAATTTTAATTCTCACAAAAGTATAAGTTTAATTTCATTTATTTATAATTCAGGCCTATTTCACAGCGTGTCACTTTTAAAAATTAACTTTATGTTCGTAATCAGCGACCAAAAAAATACTTACATACGAGGGGGAATTTACTCAGGTAGTCAAGTGTACACTCTTCCTGTAATACTTGTGTAATAATGCGTTATTACGGTGCTGTAATAATGCAAAAAAATCTGTAATATCTCTATAATAATGTGTAATACTCTGTAATAACGTGTAATAACTTAGTAATAAGGGTAATATGAGGTGTAATACCGGTAGTCAAGTGTACACGTTTTTAACTAGTAAATTCCCCCTCGCTTACATACCAAGTTTCAAAAAAAAGAAACTGAAATATTAGCTTTGTTCACCTTGCTTTTTGAAGCCTATACTGTGGGGCGGAAATTTGAGTCCACTATAAGATTGCTACAGGCTTATACGATGTAATCTTACAATCATACTAATAATACGATAATGCTAGCGAAATATTCCAAAAAATTATAAATCACAAATGAGCGAAGAGCTTAAAAGTACGTCATTCAAAAGTTCGTTAAAAATTTTATATAGCTTCAGTTAATTCTCATGTTAAGATAATGTAATTAGAGTGACATTGAGCTTGGAAAAAAAAATCCAACATATTCCAAATGTAATAAAAATATTGCCACCGTCTAATACGTATGTATTATAATGAAAAAAATAATGCAAAGAACTCAAGATTCACACGTAAAAAAGATTTGATGGCCCTGAAAAGGGCCGATTGTTTTAGAGAGGATGTGGGTAGAAATTTAAGCTTTCTTTTCGGTCTTCTTGGGCAAAAGAACAGCCTGGATGTTGGGAAGAACACCACCCTGAGCGATGGTGACTCCAGAAAGAAGTTTGTTCAATTCCTCGTCATTCCTGATGGCAAGTTGGAGATGACGGGGGATGATTCTGGTCTTCTTGTTGTCGCGAGCGGCATTTCCTGCCAACTCCAAAACTTCGGCAGCCAAGTATTCCATTACTGCTGCGAGGTAGACTGGAGCTCCAGCACCAACTCGCTCAGCGTAGTTTCCCTTGCGCAAGAGACGATGGATACGACCAACTGGGAATTGAAGTCCAGCTCTGTTGGAACGAGTCTTTGACTTTCCCTTGACTTTGCCTCCTTTTCCACGTCCGGACATTTTTTCGATTTAGTTTAGTAGCAACGTAACGAACAACTCAAAGGTTGGATGACTAATACAAAAATTTCAGTAAAATCGACTATTTATGCACTTCCATTAGGATCCCCCACCACTATTCTTCTACCACAATACTGTGACAGGTGGGCATTTACAGCGAGTGCACGAACCAATCACAATGTAGCATAGCCACTGCGACAGAACATAAAAGGAACCCGGTTTGTGGGCCGAGCATCAATTCACTCCGTATTCTCATTGAGTTTACACGTGTTTATCTCTGAATATCCAAAATGCCTCCTAAAGCAAGTGGAAAAGCTGTTAAAAAAGCCGGCAAGGCTCAAAAAAATATCACCAAGACTGATAAGAAAAAGAAGCGCAAGAGGAAGGAAAGCTATGCCATCTACATCTACAAAGTGTTGAAACAAGTCCATCCCGACACTGGAGTCTCCAGCAAGGCCATGAGCATCATGAACAGCTTCGTCAACGACATCTTTGAACGTATCGCTGCCGAATCTTCCCGCTTGGCCCACTACAACAAGAGGTCCACCATCACCTCCCGGGAAATTCAAACTGCTGTCAGGCTTCTCCTTCCTGGTGAACTCGCCAAGCACGCCGTCTCTGAAGGCACCAAGGCTGTCACCAAGTACACCAGCTCCAAGTAAATCAATCTTGATCTCTCCGAAAACAATCGGCCCTTTTCAGGGCCAACAAATTTTTTTACGAAGGAATCAATTTTTTCTTTAACATTTTTAAGTCAGTATTAGTTCATTTTTTTTAACACCATTATATTTTAAATTTCTCGTAAATAGCTATTTTTCTCGTCAAGATTTTTAGGTGTTACAGGAATATTCATATAATAAACTCAATCCCCAATCATTGCGAAGTAAATTGTAAGGTAAGGATAACATATTCAGATTATGCTCTCTTTCAGAGAGGTAGGTAAAAGTACCGAGAAAGGGAGCCTTTTTTATGTTGCAGGTCAAAAATAGTTTTTGGTGTTTTATGACAACCATATTGCGGTTTATTCTTCGCTGGCTCTATACCTACGCTAACGTAAACTGATTTCCAAAACTATAGTTACGCGAAGTGTAACCTTGGCGAGAGGGGGTGGATATGGCCGAAAGTATTTAGCAGAAATTGTGGGGTGGAGTCTACAGCAGCGGTGAACGCAAAATAGTAAACACGGCCTTCGGCCGCGTAAGGTACTGCTCGCTTTTCTTTTTAAAAACATCTTGGCGAGAGGGGGTGGATATGGCCGAAAGTATTTTGCAAAATTCGTTGGATCCTGAATAATGTGAATTTTATTTTTTTACGATAACTTTTTCGAAACTTTTTTCATTTCGCGTAGGTTTAGTTTTGGGAGATCGGTTTACGTTAATTTTTCATTTCACTGTCACTTCGCGTAGGTTCAGTTTTGAAATATCAGCTTACGTTAGCGTAGAAATAGGCACTTCGTTTATTCTTGAGTATCCTTCCTTCAACAGTGTTGCCAAGTTAGTGGTTTTCCCACTAAATTTAGTAAGATTTTGGTCCTTCAGTAACATTTTTAGTAGGAAATTTAGTATCTTTTTTTTTCTTTACTGGTTTTTTTTAATGTTTTTACCTAATAGTAATTTTTTCTACGTAAATTGTATCTGAAGTATTAAAAGTGTGGTCACTAAGTTTAAACTATTTAAGTGAATTTGATTGGTTACATTAATGGCGATTGAGCAAATGTTCAGACGGGGCCAATCAAAATTAGTCACACAGTTCTATAAGAAAGGATGCTCTTCTACGTGCCAAGCCCTGCACTGCTGTTAAGTACAGTTCATTCGTGAAGTTTATTTTATTAATGCAATGTCTATTCCATGTTCTTAAGTTCATAAATTTTATAAATAAATTGTAACTGGAATTAATAGTTAAATAAATGAAATTCCAAAAAAATGTCTATCATTATTGTTATATATTTATTACCTTGAACTATATTAAATTTTATTAAACTATTCCTTAAGTCTAAATAACTTTTGCATAATTAGTGTCAAAAATTTTAAATTTTGCGTTGAGTTAAGAATTTTTACGTTTTCTATTTATTTATTTTTATTTTTCTAGTGAAAATTAGGGAAAAAAATTTTTTGTGGAAAAAATTTATTTTTAATGGAAAATATCTAGCCATCTAGGGGGAAAGCGCCATAGGCATCTGACAACAATGTTTAAAAAAAAGAATTCCAAAGTTGAAAAATTTGGTGGCCCTGAAAAGGGCCGATTGTTTTGTAAGATGACAGAAAAATTTAACCGCCGAAACCATAAAGGGTGCGGCCTTGACGTTTCAAAGCATAGACGACGTCCATGGCGGTGACGGTCTTCCTCTTGGCGTGCTCGGTGTAAGTGACGGCGTCACGGATCACGTTCTCAAGGAACACTTTGAGAACACCACGAGTTTCCTCGTAGATCAATCCGGAGATACGTTTCACTCCACCACGACGAGCCAAACGACGGATGGCTGGCTTGGTGATACCTTGGATGTTATCACGCAAAACTTTGCGATGCCGCTTTGCTCCTCCTTTTCCCAAACCTTTACCTCCCTTTCCGCGACCAGTCATTTTTGCAGATAATAAAGTTCGTACGTCAAACTCGAACGAAGAACAAACTGAGAATGCTTTTCGAGGGAAGTGAGCATTATTTTATAACATCGTGTGGCACACATCTCCCACCACAATTTCAGTCTACCAATCGTGTTGCTAGTTTCCCCTCCCTTTAGCTGCTTATTGAACAGAAGGGTCGAAAGTCCATAAATACAGCATTTTCCCCGCCGTACATCATTGTTTTGTTAGTCTACGAACTTGCAGCATCGTCATGGCACGTACCAAGCAAACCGCTCGTAAATCCACCGGTGGTAAGGCACCAAGGAAACAACTCGCCACCAAGGCCGCCAGAAAGAGCGCGCCTGCAACTGGTGGAGTGAAAAAACCCCATCGTTACAGGCCAGGAACCGTCGCTCTCCGTGAGATCCGTCGTTATCAAAAGAGCACTGAACTCCTCATCCGCAAGCTTCCTTTCCAACGTTTGGTCCGTGAGATCGCTCAAGATTTCAAGACCGACTTGCGTTTCCAGAGCTCTGCTGTGATGGCTCTCCAGGAGGCTAGTGAGGCTTACCTCGTCGGTCTCTTCGAAGACACCAACTTGTGCGCCATCCACGCCAAGAGAGTCACCATCATGCCAAAAGACATCCAATTGGCTCGTCGTATCCGAGGAGAACGTGCTTAATTTTTTTCCAACACCTTCCAAACACAATCGGCCCTTTTCAGGGCCAACACATTTTTTTACGTTGAAATTATTTTGTTTCTAACTGCTTCATTGATTGATCTTAAAAATAAGAAATAAAGAAATCGTTATGTAATGATTTTTGGTAACAAGTTTTTTCGAAACCACATAACAAATTGATTTCAGATTTATAGGGCTTATTCAACCGAAGGTCAGTTATTCGTGAATTACTAGAATATATTCCAAACTAACTTTGATTAGTAACACTTCATTACGTATCCTTTCTTAAAAAAGTAAGTGTATGCAAAGCGCATGAAAATGTATCGAAATATCTCGATGATCGAAAAAATGAACTTTTGCTTTCCAGAGCATCTAAATTAATATTCATTTTATAAAAATCAGCTTAAATTATTGTTCCACATATATATTTTGCATAACTTACTTAATTCCAATAAATATACACTTGCAAAGTATTTATATGTTGTAAATATTTGTTTTAAATAAAAATTATTCAACAATTATTATTTTTAGACAAATTTTACAAATATAATAGATTATTATTTTTCTGTTTGAAACTTTCTCTATAATTACATGCCTTTTTGCAATTTGTTAACAATATTATTAAATATTTAATGAAATAATTGTAATAAATTATGAAACATAAATTGAAAATTAAATTGAATGTAAAAGAATAGAAGCAACTGAGACGGACAAATGCCGTCGGAGGCTCTAGTTCAATAATAATATAGACTTTAAAATATTCTTTTCTTTGTCAAATCTTAAGTTAACCTTAAGAAAAGACACTCAGTGACGGAATCAGATAATTAAATAGAAGCAAACAGATGTACCATTCTCAATCTTAATAACTTTTAAATCATTCATTTGAACCACAAATTCATAATCAACAACCCAAAAAACATCTAGTCTAGTTTAAAAATATTTTATTTATTTTTATAAAAACATTTTTATGCGTAAATTCTTGTAAACTAAAATATTTTTCTTCATTTTTACAAAATTTTAAATTGATGTAAAAGATCTGTAATTTTTTAAAATTTATAACTTAGGCACCGGCCACAAATGATGTCACGTATTGAGAGGATTTAATTTTAAATAATTAATTGAATTTCAATTTATCTAAATTTTAATTGACTGAAGTTTCAATTTGCCAACATTTTAAACTATTAATGCTTCAATCGTTGATGAAAAATTAAGATTAATAAAAATTTAAATAGATATACAAACGAATTATTTTGCACAAACTTGCAACAAACTTACAAAAAGCTTGCCGTGCAAGATTGCAGTTCTAACATATAGCAAATTTGGCACAAGTTTGCATAACTTAACACGATGCGCAGTTGTGAACGGAATCTCCTACGGCTATAAAATAAATTTTTTAACCTTCAAAGCAGGTTGCCCTTTATGTTTATTTAGAAACAAATTTTTATTAAATTTTTTTTTAATATTATACAAGCTTTTTACAAGTGAAAGGAGATTTTCCGTAAATAATTCATTTGTTACCTTTTTCTCAAAGATTAAAAAAATGCCATTTTAATATTAATTATAGATTAGTATATGTACTGAAAGTAATAAATATATGTGACCTGGACAATTAAAAGGTACCTTACGTCCGAAAAAATAATTTTTTATTGATTGGTGATTTTGATACAAAAAAGTTTTCTCTATCGTAATCACTAATCAATAAAATCCCTTTTTTATTGTTCAGTTCATATATACATATATGTATGTACATAAACTCTTTATTGGAGCATGTATAAATTTTCCTTTATTTTGCAAGTCCATAGTTAAAAATAAAAATTCCTCAAACGATAAATTAAGT